TGTGTTTAGAAAATAGCTAAGCATATATAAAAAGGTTTATTTGAAGGAGAGCTTATTAACAAGTATGTTGAAATGAGCTTAATTTTCAGTTTCCATTAAATTAAAATTACTTTTTTCTCACCTCCAGACAACTTTTGAGCCATTTAGACAATTTATAGATTAGACTTAGCTATATTTTGTCTTGCTCAGGATGTGTGTTTGACGGAGGCAGACTGTCCACCTTCCTCTTTCCCCCACCAGTTGAATGGGGAGATTGTACACATGGGAGGGAGTCAATTTCTCTTCACACAGCGTTATCCATGCCATCATAACTGTATTTCCAAACGATTCCTGAAGTTATGCACAACTCATTTAAATACTCGTTTAATTGGAATTTATCAATACTCATTTAATTCTGTTTATGAATCAATATGTTAAAAATCATCATGCTTACTGATTCAAAGAAACTTCCTTTTATGACCCCTAACCCTAATCCTGCGCCAGTACCTATTCACAGTTCTTTAATCTTCTTCCTTTTGTTTAGGTAAGCATTTACATTGTAAATTTCTGTCATACTTTTGGTTGTATATCCCATCCTGCTTTTTCCTCTTCAAGTGATGGGTTGACCACGTTGTTCTTCTGGTATTGTTTGTCATATACTATCAACTCTTTCCTCATTTTCAGCAATTGCTATTTAAGAACTCTCTAATCACTAGCCAATCCTTTTTCCTCTGTTCCTTTCTGTAGTTACCATAATGACAGAAGAGCTGGTCAGAAATCCATTATCCAGTCTCCTTATAAGCCAGACAGAGGCCTTCCAGAAATACTAGTACAGATTAAAAGAGTTATTTAAAAGAACAACAGCAACAACAGATGACTTTCAGCTAGAATGTTGACAGAATATATCATAGACTTAGATTTGGAAAGGGCCTTGGATTTCATCTTCTGGTCCTTCTGACCCAGTTCAAGAAATCTCCTGTATTTTGTCATTCTCAGGTAGCCATCTGACCTTGGCCTGGCAACTTCCCATGATAGGACATCCTCACTTTTTGGTGCAGCCTATCTGTTGTTGACATCTTCAATGATTATAAAGTTCTCTCTTGTGTTAATTAGAAATATGCTTCCCAGTGACTTCTATATATTAATTCTTATTATGTCAACTGAGAATTCACAAAATTAGCTGAGTCCATTTTTAATTTGTCAGACATTAAAATATTTGAAGACAGGTGTTATTAGAGTGGTCATCTCTATTTTTGCCTACCTAGGATCCATTTCCTTCACTTCTCATAATAATGAATTTTCCAATGGGAGATTATCTTTATCCTATTCTCCATTGATGTGGTTTACCATGGGGTTGAATCTTTGTTTTCCCCATCCTCTAAGATGTGCACATAATAGAGACCTTCTCATTCAGTGTGTTCCATTTTCCTGGCCACAGTGATTATTCCAGTTCTAGAATAGTGATCCAAACTTGTCCAGTGAAATTCTATACCAGGAGTTTTATGGAAAATACTGGAGAAGAGAAGCTTTCTGTCTTTGGAGTTGCTAAGATGCTGGAATATGAACTTGGAGCATGTGGGGAGAGCCTCCCTGAGAATGAGGGTGAGCCAAAGAAAGGAGAGCCTTGAGACAGAGAGAAACAGAGCCTTGATCACATTGTTCAAGCACCTGGTGCCAGCCTATGCCCTAAGCTATGTTGCTTCTTCACCTTTTACATACATGAACCAAAACATTTTGCTTAAGCCACTTTGAGTGGAGTTTCTCTTAACTGCCCCTAAAAAGTCTTGAATAATACAATTATATTTTTGTGAATCTTGTCTTTTCTTAGCTAAAATTATCTCTGAGTCATACTATGCTATACGTGCTCTCAACTTGCAATGTCTCCATGAAAATTGGGGCACGTAGACCTGAACCTAGTACTCTAAGTGAGAATAGAATGTATTGGTGTGGAGTACATTCGAACATTTTCCTTCCTTGTTTATGCTCCCGTGTCCTAAATTTTTACTGACAGAGGCACGGATTGCCTTAAACCTGTCTACTCCCTTTTTCTGTAGCTAGCCATCCCGTTGGCTTATATATTTGAGTTTCTTAGGCCTTTTTCACACAAAATCATATTAGGCTATGCCTCTCCTCTCAGTATCTTTATCTTCCAGCCCTTTCCCAATGTACTCAGACACATGTCCACTTGTCGGCTCTATTGAAATAGTTTTGACTTGTGAGCTTGAGAAAGTAACAATGTCTCAGAGCTTCAGTTTGCTTTACTGTAAAATTTTGTGGTATTGCTTAGGATACTTTTGATAGCAGATATTAGAAACTCCAAATTAAAATGGGTATTCAATAACAGGATACATTATCCATGACAAGAAATCTAGAGATAAGACAATATTAGTTTTGGTAAATTTGGTGGTTAGGTGATGTCATCAAGATCCAGGCTCCTTCCATCTTCCAATTTTGCTACATTCAATGTGTTCTCCTCAGGCTAATTCCCTTAATGGCTTCACAATGTCTGCCACAGTGCCATGCATCACAGAGGGACATGGAAATGTTCACCAGCGAAAGAGAGGCTCCTCATCTCCAAGGTTTCTTTTTAAGAAAGGGGAGAATGTTTCCTAGAAGCCCTTCAGGTTTCCTCCCACATCTTATTGGCCGGGATTCTATTATGACTATGTTTAAATCAGTCCCAGGCAAGGGATATGAGATGATCAGTTTGGCTTAGACCAGTGGTCTCAAACTAGACTTTTATCAGAATCACCGGGAGGGTTTATTAAAACACAGACTTCTTGGTTCCATTCCTAGAATTTCTGATTCAGTAGGTCTGATGTGGGACCTAGCAATTTCCTTTTCTAACAAGTTCCAAGATGATACTGACGTTATAGGTTGAGACCACAGTTGGATAACCTCTAGCTTAGACAAACATGATGCACCCCTGGGATCGGAGCTGAGGCTGGGGCCCATGTGGGGCAGGTGAGAAATAATGCCAAACTCAAAGGATCATCCTGTGGCTTGCAGATAATGCACATAAATTGCCCATCACCGTATGTTCAATAGATGTAACTCCTACTATTGTTGTTACTGCTATTATTGATTCTGTTACACATAGAAATTGTATTTATAGACTCTTTCAATTTTACTTGAAAATTTGATAAGTATGCTTTTACATCTTATTCAGGTCATTGATAATATACTGAACAGGCCAGGGGAATATAGAGAATTCTGAAAAGTGTAGTAGAGATTTCCCTGATCACTGACGTCAACCCACTAATCAAAATGCTTGTGATTTGGTTCTTAAGTGATTTCACTGTATTGAACTGTCATTCAGCCTTATTTTTCCATTTTTTCCAAAAGGATATCTTGACAGGCTATAAAATAATTGGTTTAAAATTTGCCCATAGATCTTTCTAGAAAAAATATAGAGTAAATTATATGTTCTGGCATTTTATTAATAACACTATCTAACATTTTTATAGAGTGCTTACCCTGTGTCAGATACTCTTCAAACTCTTTTACGTGGGTGGGTACTATTATTATCACTATTTCACAGACGAGGAAACTGAGGCACAAAGAAGTTAAATGGCTTGCTCAGAGCCATGCAACTGGTAAATAGAGGTAATGGGATTCTAATCTATCCTAATGTAATCTCTGCTAATAGGCACCACCACATATGAATAGTACAGTCAAAGGAAATGGTCATGATTATAATCCAGTAATACAGCCAGTACCTGTAACGCCTTCTCACACACATATCCACATACACATACACATCTGTCTCCTTTATTACAGCTTCTAAATGCTATACATTTCAGTACGTTCTAGTTCTTCGGAAATTGTTCAGTAAGCCAAGGTGCATGGGCAAGCTTTATTTGTTAGTGTTTAGTGACCACTGTGCTGAGTGGGGTCATCACGATTTATAACAGAGCTATTATAAATGGAAAAGTATATTTTAATATTGTATTGTCTATTTAACATTTTAGTAAACATTTAGAGTAGAAATATTTTCAAATGTTTGTGACAACTTTTGCAGAGTTTCACCATGGACTGGAATTGGAGAAAAATTATAACGGATGGCAACTGTGAAAATGGGAATTGGCAGTGAACTAATTAAGTTCAATAACCAAACACTCTGTCATGACTCTGTCCTATTTGTTACAAATGAGTAAATTCTGATGATTAATCTTGAAGTGACTGAAAATACAAACTAAATGGAAACTTATTTGAAGTTAGAGACAGTCATCAATATATTTTGGGTCCCTTGGCTCTGTTTTGATGACTTTTCTGTGTCTGGCATCTAATTGAACTTATTTTATGTCCTGATGACTAGTTTGTTCTTTGCAACTTGGCTGGAAACTTTGCAGCCCCAGGGAGGGAACTAATCAGCACTTTTTGAACTCCCTAGATCTACCTGGCCATGAATTTTAGCAAAACTAGGGCAGCTTAGCAGAGAGGTTAGGCATGGCTGTTTGGCTGTCGTCTGTTTCTCTGTCACATTGTGTTAGGTCTGCTGTACCAGCAGGTGTCATACTGGGCTGCACTTTCCCACAGAAATACATTAGGTAAAAATTCAGAACCATTTCCTGTTCTATAAATTCTGAAAATAGAACACCAGCCTCAAGCATTCTACCATACAGAAGCAGTAAGTTGTGCTATCTTAATTATGAATGCATCAAGTATGAAGGCCTTTTTCCCTCCTAGGTCACTCATGGAAAGTGCATACAGCATTAGGGTTGTTCATCCAGGTAGCCAGTCTGCCTCCTTTAAAGGGGTCAAGGAACATAGATATTTAATGAGTCTCCCTTTGCTGTGCTAGGCTGAGGTTGCCTTCTCAAAGGGAGCCTGTGTTTAACTCACTGGTTCTCAGACTTCAGGGTGCATCAGAATCATTGGCAGGGCTGCTTATGCCAGGAATTGTAGGCCCCCACCCCCGGAGTTTCTGAATTTACATTTCTGACAAGTTCCCAGGTGATTCTGGGAGCAGGTTTTTGAGAGCCACTGCTTTAACTTAAGGCTTTGTTTTTACTTCACAGACTTACCCAGTTGGATATATTACATTTGCCGTTTCCTTCTTCTCCACTTAGAACTGCCTAGCACTTGCCGCTTTGGGGAGCAGCTCACATTAGGAAGCCTTCTTAAAAATAAAGGTATGGGATAAAGAGTCACACTTAAGGTATTCTATTACATGTTAAGGTTTTTGGTTGCAAGTAACAGAAATGATATTAGCTAATGTAGTGTAGTAGATGCTGTGGGGCTCCCAGCCAGATGCCCCTTTCCAGACAATGCCCTTATTCCCTAACAGTTGCAAGTGCTGCAGATAATGGCTTATAGCTGTGACTTTTTACAGAAAATTACCTTTGACTAGCAAGAGCTGCCTCTCCCAGAGATGTCTAGGAAGTTTGATACCTACCTCCACCTGTTGGGGTAGTCACTAACTCACTGACATGGAGGTACCAAAGTCCTCTTAACTCAAGGTGGAATGACTCCGTGGTGCCGAAAGCTGCAGTGACCAATACACTTCTAGCCACATGTGGCTATTAAGCCCTTGAAATGTGGCTAGTTGGAATTGAGATGTGCTGGAAATGTAAAATACACACTGATTTCAAAGATTTACTAAGAAAGAAAGAATGCTACATACCTCATTAATGATTTTTTATATCGATTACATCTTAAAATGACAATGTTATATATATTTTGGGTTAAGTAAATATATTAAAAATAATTTCACTTGTTTCTCTTTACACATTTGGATCACATTATATTTCTGTGGGCCACACAGCTACATGGGTCAGGCCAAGGCTATACTCTATTTGAGACCATATATTTCTCCAGAAGAAATCAAGATCGGATAAGTAGAAGGCTGAGGTCAGCTGTGCAATGGAATGTCATGATCCCTTAGCCAGTTTCTGTCTCTAAACCAGTCCTTACACCCAGAATCCATCAACTAAAAGAGAGGCTCGGTCCCCATGAGGCTTACAACTTACAGTTTATTTCAACTCTACGGCTAACGTAAACAGTAATGTATATATTTGATTCTCCCAGTCCTTCCCCAAAAGACACTTGCAGCCATACACCAGGGTAAAAATTAACTAGGGAAAAGAGAATACCCACACTTTTTGAAGGCTGCTGTATATAAAGTCCAATTGGCTCTGACACTAGAGCACCTGAATTCAAAGCACTACCATTGACCCCCCAATTAGAATGGGGACATATCAAGGTCCAATAATCAATGGAGCTCTAGCCCAAAAGCTTCTCACAGTGGGGCTGTTAGGTCCTTGGACTCACCTAGTAGCCATGTCTCCAGTTCCTAAATATATATTCATAATGGAACCCTCATATTTGTTCTCTTACCTGTTAAATCCAAGCTGTTTTAGCAGGAAAGGCCAAGGAGAAGCCCTGAAGCTGTCCTCTCCCTACCCCTGCTAATACTAAGTCCAATAATAATTCATCCCAGGGAAAATTACAGAGATTAATGTAATCTCAAAGACTTAAAGAAGGAAAGGATGGTAATTGCAATCGTATCTCCATTTAATTTACTGGTCTGACACTTGCAAAAATTGGATGGATCATTACATATGTCTGTGGATTACCACACACCTAACCAAGTAGTAGTCACAATTGAAGTCTCTAGTACATAGCTTGTAGCTATTGGTCTTGTCAATGTATTCTCCTCATACCCACCAGGAAGAATAAGTGATTTTCATTCACACTGATGAATATACACTCATGGGTATACAGCCAACAGTGCACGTCATAGTCTGCCTCCAGGTCAATGTTAACTCTTCCATCCACTGTACAATATACTCTGAAGGGACTTGGGCAGGCTGGACATTCTGTGGGACACTATATTTATCCAATATACTGATGGCAATATGTTAAACAGACCTGATGAGCAAGAAGCTGTAAGTCCTCAGAATGCCTTGGTAAAACACATGTATGCCAGAGGGTAGGAGGTAAATCCTACAAAACTTCAGGGGTCTGCCACATTGAAGACGATGTTAGACATCCAGTGAGCTGAAGTATAGTGAGACTTCCTCTTCAAAGGAAAGTAAACACATGTTGCAACCACGTGTCTCCTACCATCAAGAGAAAAAAAATAGCTTGGTCATCCTCTTTGGGTTTTTGAGGTAGCACCTGGAAATACTGCTATGACTATTTATTGGGTGAAGTGAATATCTGCCAGTTTTGAGTGGGATCCAGAACAAGAAAAGACTCTGGCAGGTGTGGGCTGCAGTACAAGCAGCTCTGCCACTTAAGCCATATGAACAATGGTATTACAGGTATTAGTGGTAGAAAAAGAGTTTACTAGAGACATCTCAATAGAAGAGTTGCAGGGCAGAACCCTGTAATTCTGAAACAAGCTCATTCAATTTTCTGCACAGAACTACACACCATTCATAAAGCAGCTCTTAGAATGTCCTGGGACATGGGAGAGACTAAGCATCTGAGCATGGGACATCAAGTGACTATATATCCAGGTTTGCCCATCATGAGCCGGGAGATTGTCAAACTCTTCCATTCACAAGGTAGGAGGGCCCAGAAGCAATTCACTGTAAATAAGATTGTAAGATCTATTGTAAGATGGAAGGAGTGCTTTCTTGAGTCTTGAGCAAGTCTAGAGGCATAATTAAGCTGCATGAAAAAGTGCTGCACAACCCCCTGTTACCGACCACTGCTGCTCAGGCACTTATCCCTTAGCTCACACCTATGGACTCATGGTGGGCATTGCTTATGGCCACCTGTCAGAGAAGGAAACAAAACAGAGCTTGGTTCATGGATCACTTGATCCACGTGAGCACAAAATGGTCTGATTTTAAGCCAAAGCTGCACTCAAGGATGACCCAGAAATACAGGGGTGGGAGAAATCTTCCCAAGGGTAGAACTTCGGCTAGTGCATCCCACAACATCTTTGTGTGGAGAGAGAAGAGGCCCAAGGTAGGATAAACACAGCAGAGGCATATGGCTTAGCAGATAGGTCAGGAGCCTGGAATGAGCAAGACTGGAGGATTAGGGTCAAGGAAATAAAGGGAAGAGCCATATGGATAGACCTATGGAAGTGGGCACAATACGTGAAAATTTCACATGCACACCAGGGAGTCTCCACTCCACAAGAGGCACTAAAAACCCATGCAGACAGGATAGTTGAAAACTAAAGGAACTACACATGCAATGCCTAACTAGTTTTATAGTTTTTCTGATTTAGGAACGCAGTGGGGGAAAACAAAAATACTTGGTGCAGTAATTAGGATGTAGAGACTAGAAAACAGAGTTTCAGACTTCTTAATGCAATAAAATTAAGCAGTGTTAATTTTATTATTTTAGGTAACAAGTTAGGGTAGGATGAAAATTTTCTAACCAGTTTTCCATCTTTAAGACAGGAGTTCTCCAGAGGTGCTTAGGATGAGTTTTCTGGTTTCTGAGTTCTTAGGATACTTTAAAAAATATGATATTCTCAGAACATTATTTTTGTTTTTTGAACCATGTTGGAAAAGAGATTTAAAAATTTTCTTTATAATTCTTTCTAAGCCTTGGAATTTCTGAGCCCAGGCGGAAACCCCAGAGACCTGAATTAGCCTTCACTGAATGTAGAGGAATAATGGCCTCTTCCACCATGTCCACGCCCTGATTTCAGAACCTGTGTATATGTTACCTTACGTGGAAGAAGAGACTTTGAAGATGTGATTAAAGTTAAAGATCTTGAGGTGGGGAGAGTAGCCTGTGTTATCCAAGTGGGCCCAATCTAATAAAATGGACCTTAGAAGCAGAAAATGTTTCCCAGTTATGATTAGGGAGACAGTAGAAGAAGGAGGAAAGATTGGAAGTGTGAAAGGAGAAACCCACTCTTGCTGGCTTTGAAGATGGAGGAGGGGACCATGAGCCAAGAAATGTGTCTCTTCTAGAAGTCTTCCAGAAATGTGACTTCTTCTAGAAGTCAGGAATGGCCCTCAGCTGACAGCTGGCAAGAGATTGGGAATCTCAGTCTTACAAGGAACTGAATTATGCCAACAACCTGCATGAGTAAGAAAATGGGTCTTGCCTTGGACCCTCCATAAAGGGTCCCTGGCAACACTTTGATTTTATCCTAGAGAGATTGTATTGGACTTGAGACTTACAGAAATGTACAATAATAAATTTCTATTGTTTAGCTCATAAAAGTTGTGGTGTTTGTTAACACAACTGACAGATAAGTAAAACACTGGACTTCCCTGGCCTTTATCTCCTCATCTGCAAAATAGAGATGATACTATCTTCCTTTTCTATTGAGGACAAAATGAGATGCTTCATGAGACAGTGCCTGGAAAACTTTAAAATGCTATGCAAACAATAGATATTATTAGATTTAGAACTAGTTGATGTGGTAGTCTCAGGGGAGGTCTTGTTGGTACAAATAGCAATCACACTGATTGTTTCTAATGCTTGAAATCGCAATAAGGTAAAGGAAATAAATTATTTCAAATTCTGTTTTGGTACAGTAACACTTGACAATATCTAAGCCTAATGAGGTCACAAGAGTTAAAACAGAAAGCCCTGCTAATGAAGGTTATATACATGTCACAACTGGAATAGAAGACAGAAGAACAGAACGAGTGCTATTTTAATATAACTCTTGGCCTGACAAAATGAAAAGTTAATTAACATGAGATACCGAAAACCCAAATAGCAGATTCCATCTCCATTTTAGTTTACTGAGTTTGATTTGATTATGCTGATTCTCAAGCACCAATAGCTACCTGGTATTATCAGTCTCTTGGCCCTGATTTCTTAATCAGCAAAATAGCTGCTTCTTTCTTGCACATGGTTAATTTTGTTGGCTCATTTGTTTTGGAAGGGACCACAAAGTTTACTTAGGTAGGTGGATGGGCCACCTCTTTACTTTCGGGGATAATTACTTCCAAAGAAACTTTTAAAATTTAGGCCAGTGTGTTCTAATGTTTTTTAAGGACAATCGGAGCTAGGTGGTTGAGCATTTTAGTCAGTGAATACAGTCGGCCCTCCCTATCTGAGGGCTCCACAACTATGGATTCAATTAACTGTGGATTGAAACCAGAAACAATGGCTTCTTAATCTACCTTTTGTGGAGCTTTTGGTCTTTTGCTTCTGCTTGTCTCTAAGTGCTTGATCCACCTCTCCTCTTCTCACGACAGATCTCCTTTCTCTGCTTGTTTGTTAGCAGGTATATAGCTAAAAATGACTATCTCAGGCCAGCCTCTATGTACATTGAATTCAATTGCACATATCACTTTTTTCCCCATAGTACTGCTTAGTTTAAATTAAGTATAGAGAACGTAAGTGATTACTAGCTGGGTACTAGTAGAGGTACCACCAGTTTGAGGATTGGGTTTCTTTGAGTCTGATGCATACTCCTAGTTCAACGAGCTGTGGTGTTGGGGTCACATAGTACAAATTTGGCTGCCATGGACTGCAACTTCTAACAGGCAGCTCACAGAGAAGAGGGCTATGGGTCGGCAGACACCTCAACACATTCCTCTCATATTTAGTCACACTTAAAGCTTTAGTTCCTTGTACCTGAAGAATGAGTCAATTTCCCATTAGGTTTATGCCCTTGACCGAGATTTTTCACTATTTAACCTCAAAGAATTACATATTGCCCTCTTTCATATAGAACTAATGAATACAGTAAGTGAGCATAATATCTTATCTCCAATAGGCATGTCATAAATATTGTTGAAAGTAACAAAATTTTTGCGCTTTGTAGTTTACAATCATAACCTTTCTACAGTTATTTCAGTAAAGCTAGGAATAATATGTGTTCATATTTGAGATTATGCCAAAGTTGGTTATTTGGTTTTCCTTAAGAAAGGACTGATATAATGCACATTGTCTTGGGCTATCTTGAAGGCTAATGTGAAAGTATTTTTCTGCTTTCTGAGGGAATTTTCTGGGGGACATAATATCTCCTTCAAATATATATTGACTTATAACTAGTAAATCAAGGAAAGGTCTTACAATTTAGCAATAAAAATCTGAGTTCACAGAGTCTAAAAACATAATGCTGAAGCAAAAAACTAAATTCCCCATTATAGTGGAAACTTTGTCCTGTTTTATCTGTGGGGTTTCATTAAAAGGAAAACAAATGTTCTTGTGAGCAGTGCAACTAGAAATTTTTATGAACCTGGTAATATTGTGGAAAGTATCTCTAAGGCTGTCTAAGTTCTAGAATTCTAATTAACTTGAAGTTTCTGGAGAAATTGGTTACAAAAAGATTTAGTGATGCAATTTTGAGCCTGGATGTATTAGAAAGACCATAAAGGATTGGTCCAGGATAAAAGATTGACAAAAATGACAACATCTGCTTGCCTGAATTTGCTTTCACTATAGTTTATTTCTGGACCAATAAACAAGGCAAGTGACGTCAGGGACACAAATGATTGAGTTGATGCTGCTTCTCACAGCACCTCTAGTTTTTCTTGGAGATGCCTCTGATGTTTAGTATTCCCTAGCAGGCTACATGGACTGAACAATCCACAAGGTCAGAAAAACTGTTGCCTTTTTTTTTTAACTTTTTGGCTGGGAAGAGACTAAAATAAGTTATTTCTTGCTGTCACCATGGTTATATAACATCATGATCTATTTCTTTATCACTAGACATACAGGACACTTACCCATGGCCTATCACATTACACTAATCTTTTTCATTTTAACTTCAGGGAAATCGAGGTCATGAAAAGAAAATCGTTAAACGCTATTGCTGGGCTCTCCATTAGACCACACATTCTAAAGCAAGATAGAATGAATTCAGATGCCGGCTCTGCCAAGCTGTAGGAGCTTTGACAAGTTACTGAACCTGTCTTTGTCTCAGTTTACTCAACTTTAAAATTGAAATAAAAAGACTTCTGATTCCAAATACAACCTAATAATGGATATTAGACAGATCTTCTCACAATAAACATGTATGATATCGGAAAAATGTATGAAGTATTTGTTTTTGGGCATTGGACAACAGACGGTAGAATGCTGTGGTCCTTGAGTGAGGGAAAACACAGGAGATACTTCACCCCAGCTTTCTGCTTAGGGGTACTTTCCAAACTGTGGTACTTGTAAGGGGAACCTAAACAGAGACCAACAGCCTGGCTGTGCAGAAGAAACAGAGACAGGGGTTGGGGTTGCTGAGGTGAGAGGAATTTGTAGGGCAGAAGATTAGAGTAGAAGGAACTATGCAAACAAGAAGATACATATATTTGCGTAGGGATCCCCTTGAATATTTGGCTGAATATCAGCTGTGTAAGGTCAGAGTAAAACTCCATGAGCCTTGGGAAAAAGCAGCTATTGGGGGACTGTGAGCTGAACATAGATGCTACATATTACCTGGTTCTAGGAGACACTGGGATTGGAATTAGGGTAGAGACTTCACCGAAAACCCTGGACGTTCAACTGATATCTCATCAAAGCCACACCTTAGGAGTAGGGATAATCTAGTCTTAGAGTGAGGGGTACCCTAGACACTCTAACACAGCCTAAAACCAAGTTTCAACAGGATCAAATTGATCCATCCATACATTAACTACATGACAAAAATCTCAACGCTCTATAAAGTAAGATAAACTCAATCTCTCAAAAATGTATCATTCAAAATATGTGGCACATAATCAAAAGCAAGAATATGTAGTCTATAACCAGGAGAAAAAACAATCAATGGAGATAGATCCAGAGATGGCACAGATGTTGAAATTAGTATACAAGAAGTTTAAAACTAGTATGAAAATATGTCTGAGGATTTACAAGAAATTGTGGGAATAATGTAGATAAGGGATCTCATCAGAGAAATGGAAATTATAAAATAAGCCAAATGGACATTATTGAAAGAAAAAATACAATATTTGAAATGAAAATTTTCCTGAATGTACTTTCAACGGTATATTAGAGACTAGGATCAGGAAACTTGCAGACAGCTTAATAGTAACTATTCAGACTGAAGCACAGAATAAAATGAGACAAAAAAGACAAAAAATGAAAGGAGCTTCAGTTATCTGTGCCACAATATTAGGTGGTCTTAGATACATGAAATATGAGTCCTAGACAAAGAGGAGAGAGAGAAAGACTGAGACTGAAAGAAATATTTGAAAAAATAATGATCAAAATTCCCCAAATTTGATAAAAATTATCAACCCACAGATCCAAGACACTTAAATCCCAAGCAGTTTAAACATAAGGAAAACCACACCTGGGCACATCAAAGTCAGTTTGATGAAAGTCACAGAGAAAGGTTAAATCTTTAAAAAAGCTAGAGAAAAAGATACATTACATATAAGAGAACAACAATAAGAATGATCTCTACTTCTCACCAGAAATAATGCGAGCCAGAAGACAATGGAACTACACTGTTACAGTTCTGGAGGAAAAATAAGTGTCAACATAGAATAAAGATAGTCAAACAGATCAATGGAGCAGAATAGAAAATCTTGAAATAGAGCCATACCGCAGTTAAACTGTCAGTTTTTGACAAAGGCACGAAAGTAATAATAGAGGAAAGAAAAGTTTTTTTTAAAATTTTCTAAATGATGATGGAACAACTGAATCTGTTTGTGAAAGAAATGAACTTTGACACCTACCTGACACCATACTTAAGAAAGAAAAAATAGTCAAGATGAATCATAAATCAAAACGTAAAAGTTAAATCTATAATATTTCTAGAATAAAACATAGGAGAATATTTTCATTACCATGGTGTAGAGAATGTTTTCTTGTACAGAACACTACAAACATTCACCCTAAAGGAAACAAAACCCCAACAAATTGGACCTCATCAAAATGTAAAACTTCTGCTCACTAAAATACTCCGTTAAATAATGAATAGGTAAGCCACACATGGGAAGAAAATATTCATATTACGTCTCTGACAAACGACTTGCATACAAGTCACAATATACAAATAACTCTTCCATTCAATGATGATAATATAAACAGCCTCAATTAAAAATAGGCAAAGGACTTTAACAACAGATACTTCACAACGGAGAATGCAAATGGTCAGTAAGCAAAGGAAAATATGCTCAACATTCGTAAGGGAAATACAAATTACAAGAAAGATGAGAGATCATTACACACCCACAAGCATGGATACATTTAAAGAGGATAACAACACCAAATGTTGGAGAGGATGTAGAACAACTGGAATTCTCATACATTGGTTGGTGGGAACGTTAAATGATACAACCACTTGGGAAAATGTCTGGCAATTCTTTATAAGATGAAACAAACACCTAACCTATGGTCCAACAATTCTGATCCTAGTCCAGGAGAATTAAAATCATATGTTCACAAAAAGGTTTGTACAAGACTATAGACAGCAGCTTTATCCATAAAAGCTCAAAACTGGAAATAACACGAATGCCCATCAATAGGGAAATGGGAAAACAAGTTGTGGTGTATTCACACAATGGCTTTCTATTGATATATGTTACAAAATGGGTGAATCTCAAAAACATTACTCTGAGTAAAAGAAGCCAGGCAAGAAACAGCACATACTGTATGATTTCATCTGCATGTAATTCTAGAACATGGTTAACTAAAGTATGGTAATAGAAATCAGGATAGTGTTGTCTCTGGAGATGGTTTAGGAAAGGAAACTTTTCTAGGAAGGGGCATGAGGGAACTTTTTGAGATGATGGACTGTTCTATATCTTGTATGCATTTGCTCAAACTCAATTTTTCCGTATGTGTATTGTACTTCAATTTTTTTAAAAAAGAAAATGAGGTGACAATAGTAACTATAAGAGTGCTGTGGAAATTCAGCTAATATATATAAAATACCTACAATAGTGCTTGATAAATTGTCATATATAAGCGTTAGAAATCACTATCATAACTCATACTGTTATTTCCAATGCTCCATTCATCTAATGTACTATTAGTGGTTTTGCACAAATATTCAAACCATGGAATATATTTCAGAACGTTAGGAATAATACCTCATTTTATTGTATAAAATGAGGCTTTTTTAGTGTTATTCAGTTCTGCTGTTAAAAAGCCATTGCAGCTGTTTCCACTCATGAAACCTCTTGACACTCTGCAAATTCCCCATCTGTGGTTTCCTTGCCAGCTGACTTCTAAATGGCCGCAACTTTTCCTTTCCATTCAATTATCTAGAATTTTAAGTACAAGTAATTAATCCCTTGATCAAATGGTATAGAATTAGACTGCTTTGATTGTTCCCTCCCCTCAGGAGATCTTAAGCTTTCATAGAATACAGCATTCAAAGCATATTTAAACAGACCATAAGGTGGTTTAGAAAATGGATTTGTGGTAATACTCTCAAA